TACTGATATATTTAGAATGAAAAAGATCATCTTATTTTTTTTTAATTTGGACATCTATCTTTATTCCTGTTTTTACTTTTTAACTTCCCTGTGTGTGTGGTTAGACTTTTAACAAAATTGTTAGCGTTCATATATATAGATTTGTAGCCTGACTTTTCACTACATGTCATATTGCATGCCATTAAATATTCTTTGAAACATCATTTTTAATGACTACATAAAAATCTCATTATATGTACTATTATTTATCCTCTACCTTATTGGTTGATATTTGCTTTTTTATGAGCTGTTATGAATAATGCTATGAGAAATATCCTTTCCTACACATTTCTTTGGCAAATCTATGATCATTCCCATAGGGCAGATTCTTAGGAATAGAATAAAAAGGTATGAATTTTTTTAAGCTCTTCACACATATTGTTAATCGACTTTCAGAAAGGTTGTGCTAATTTACACTCCCTCTAGTAGTTAAAGGGTGATCCTTTTTCACTACAGCTGTTTAAGTATTGAATATTATTACTTAGGAATGTCTGCCCATTTTAAAAATCAAAAATACGATCTCACTGCCATTTTCATTTGATTTATTAGATAGCTATTCAGACTATATTGTTTTGTGGGTTTACTGGCCATGTGAGTAGAACGATAGATTCTGTGAACTATTAATTTATATCTTTTGTCTTATTTTCTAAATTTCTTTTATTTTTTTAAAATTTTTTTTCCTACATTTTCACTGCTATATATTGAAGATGCAATAAATAGTCCTCGGCAGAATGGAAGAGAAGGAATTGTGACATGGCCGTCCCCCCTGGGGGTGGTCATTTCTCACTTTCTCACTTTCTCTCTCTCTCTCTATCTACATATATATATATATATGTGTGTGTGTGTGTGTGTGTGTATCTTTGGAGAGTACAAGTGCCTTATGGCACAAACCTAAAAACAAAACAAAAAACTCCTTGTCCCCAGTTCATATGTGAAACTTAATCTCCATTGTGAGGATATTTGAAGTTGAGCTCTTTGGATGTCTCTGCCTTCATGGATAGGATTAGTGCCCTTATAAAAGAGATCCTAGAGACCTCTCTCACTCCTCCTGTCATGTGAGAACACAGTAAAGAGACGACCATCTATGAACCAGAAATTTGGCCCTCGCCAGACAGCAAATCTGTGGGCACCTTGACCTTGGACTTTCCAGCCTCCAGAACTGTGAGAAATAAAGTTCTCTTGTTTTTAAACTATCAGTCTGTACTGATTCGTTATAGCTGCCCAAACAGACTAAGACATTACATGGTGAACAACTGATCCACAGAACGACATGTAACAGTATTAACCAGTTCACTAAATCTTCACGGAAAATACTAACTTTTGGACCTGTGAAGAATACAAACATATTTAATACCCCAACGGGCCTACAATGCTTGGTGGAAAGCTGTCGGTTGATGTCATAACCTAACCCGATTCAGAGCAGAGTATATTACTAAGGGCTGAATGCACGATCCAAGCAATAAGCAAATATGCCAGAAACTATTAGTAATTCAGAAGGCTTTTCAATAGAGTGGGCATATATTGAGCCTGTAGGAAGAGAAGTGTGCAGATTGAGGAAACCAAACAAAGTGAATGGAAGGAACACAGAATATAGGTGTATGGAAAGAGCGGGAGTGTGCCTAGTGCTTCAGTGGTTGACTGGATGGCAACATTTCCAGTTTTTTCTTTTGGAGAGGTTTTTGCTATAGGGCGCGTGCGCTCGCCAGACAGAGAGAGACAGAGAGACAGAAAGCGAGAAATCACCCCCCGGGGGGATGGTCACACCGCAATCCCTTCTCCTCCATTCTCCTCTTGGGATCTTGGGCACACACGCACATGCGCCTGGCATGAGTTCTAAGTCACCAGGTCCATGATTCTAACCACAGTCGACTACGTGGGAGTCCAGCGACATAGCCATTACGCTAACTGCTGGTCCTGATGGCAACATTATTTTGATAATTGGTGGCATTAGGCATGTGGCGTGATGTTTTCTCATGATCTAACTGCCTGTCCTTTGTTTCCAATGAAAATGTATTTCAATATCCACTCCCAAGGTGAAAGACCACAACGATGAAGACAATGCTGAGCACCACAAAAGAGCGATGCCTACCTGAGGCATCTATAAATAATTTTAGTGTCAGCATCAAATGAGAAAAGCTGGGAAGGCTTCCTGGAGTACATATTACATGTATCCCATGTAATAAGATGCTCTAGAAATGTATACATTAAGAGATCAGATTTACTCTTCCCATTATAGATGAGGACAAGTGAGTCCTGAATTTAGGATTTTTAAAAATTTGAAATTGTAAAGTTTTTTTTGGATTGCTTGGGCAACTTAAAAAATCTTCCCTGGGGCCATCAGATGGTCTAGTGGTTAAAGGCGCTGGACTCCCACATGGCTGAGCATGATTCGAGTCCCAGATCTGGCAGCTTGAAACTCATGCCAGGTGTGCATGCATGTGTGTTCAAGATCCTGAGAGAAGAATGAAGGATAAGGGATTGTGGTGTGGCCATCCCCCCTGGGGGTGATTTCTTGCTTTCTGTCTCTCTGTGTCTCTTTGGCAAGTGCATGTGCCCTATAGCAAAAATATCTAAAAAAACAAACAAACAAAAAAACCCCAAACTTCTCCCAACTCTTCCTCTTCCCTTCAAAACAGAATTTAAAAATTACAAACATCCAAATTATAAAGAGAATAATTTCAAAAGCAAATCACTTAAAGTCTCCACTTAATTGGTACTAGATTTGCCCTCCTGCTAAAGATAACAAGAAAACAGGTCGAAATGTATAAATCGAATGTCTAGAGGCGCTGGAAGACAGGCAGTGGAGGACAGGAGAAAAGCAATGCCTGCAAGCCTGTAACTGCCCAGCTTCCCTGGGCAAGTGCTTTCTGGAGCAGAGGTAGTGCAGAGGGAGCACCTGGACCAGCACCATTGACTCACGGACTGGACAATAAAAATCAAAAGACGGTAAAATGCTGCCTCCAAAGGTGACGCTCCTGCTCTTCAAACACCTACCGATGGCTTCCTCCTTTGGAGAAATCATCTATGAGGCATGAACTTTACTCTTCCCACTGTTACTTCTGAACCTGTTTTCCTGCTCCAGTTGAAATGATAGGAGGAATTGCCAGTCTGCCAACTGCCAAGCCTTTCCTCAAATAATATAGGCTCTCTTTTGTATGGCTTCCTTCTTTAGCTGGAACTCTTCCCCAACACCTCCACCACCACCACCGTATCCACATGGAGATTTTATCATTTCGGTCTCTACCTAATTCTCACCAATTCAGAGAAGCCCTACAGGATCATGATATAAGGATACTTCAAAATGTTTGTAAAGATGGAATTAAGGTACAGGTTTCTTCTGGTACAGATCTTTTTGAACATACCTCGTATATAACATTTTTACCCAAATTTTTCTCTGCTATACTGTAACTTATGATATTTATTTACTTATTTATTTATTTTACTATTTATCATGGACATGCTATTCTTTTGTTTGCCTGTTGAATGTCCCTTTCAGCAATATTTAAGTACCATCAATTCAGAAATGTGACTGTCTTCTCTACTGCTCTATACTCAAGGCCTGGTATATCGTAGGTGTTCAATAAATGGGTATTGACTAAATGCATGATTGAAGAGAATTCCTGGAAGAGGAGCACTTCAGTAAAACCTTTATAGAAGGCTTTGAAAGAAAGGGACCAGCAGTTAACGTAATAGCTATGTTGCTGGACTCCCACGTAGTCGACTGTGGTTCAAGTCCCAGACCCGGTGGCTTAAACTCAAGCCGGGCACATGTGCATGTGTGCCCAAGATCCCAGGAGGAGAGCGGAGGAGAAGAGATTGCGGCATGGCCATCCCCCCTGGGGGGTGATTTCTCGTTTTCTGTCTCTCTGTCTCTCTCTCTCTGTCTGGCAAGTGCACGTGCCCTATAGCAAAAACCTCTCCAAAAAAGAAAGGGTTTTCTTTCTTTAGCTGAAAATGAACTGCTCAGAAGTATTAGCATGTATAACAACATGGCACCAGGTACCAATCTCAGGTTAGTTTGGCTGCGGTGTGGAGATATGAAAGAGAGTCCCAGAAGACAGATCAAATGAAGTGGAGGAGAAACTTGAATGCCAGCTGAGGTTTTTTGTTTGTTTGCTTGATTTTTTAATCTCCTGGAAGACCACAAGGTACCTGACTCTGGCCCCCTTTAAATGGGGGAATGACTTGTTTACAGTAGCGTTTCCAGAGGATGAAAAGGCATCAGAGAGGGATGCTCCCTGAGAGCAAAACCTCAGAGAGTTGTCTGCGTTCAACCTGGGCTCACTGTCACAACAGTACGATGTGTTTTGGTGATTAAAAGGAAAATCACTAAAATTGGATACTTTTTATCTTGACTGTTGTTTGCTAAGCATCCTCTATGGATTATCAAAAGACTACAGAAAAAGAAGGTTGAAATACACCGTTCTTCTTGCCAGACACCTGTTATGGTCAAAGACAGATTGCTCTTCCCTGACGGCCCAGGACATTGTGACCTGAATGTGAAGATCTAAGAGACTTCTGAGAAAGCACTCCCAGTCCAGTGGGCTGCGTATCTGGAAGGAGATAGATATAAATTAAGGATCTTGGTGCTTTATTAGAATTACCATCCCTTGGGAACTAGCAGTTAGCGTAATGGCTATGTCGCTGGACTCCCACGTAGTTGACCGCGGTTCGCATCCCGGACCCGGTGGCTTAAAACTCACGCTGGAGGTGTATGCGTGCGTGCCCAAGATCCTGAGAGGAGAATGGAGGAGAAGGGATTGCAGGGTGACTATCCCCCCTGGGGGGGGATTTCGTGCTTTCTGTCTCTATGTCTCTGGAGCGCAGGCCCCCTTATAAAAAAAACCCCCCCAAAAAAAAAAAAAAAAAAAAAAGAATTACCATCCCTTCACAGGCAGGTGGTATTTCATTCCCAATATCTTCTCAACAGTTAGTGACTACTCTCATTATTTCTTTTCCAGAGCCCTTCCTAAGAGGCAGGACCCATGTTAAGATGAGGGAAACTGAGGCCCACAGAGGTAAAGCAATTTTCCTGAAGCTACACATTACATTTGCATTAGACCAGAAGAGGAATATGGTAGTTTTTTTAGAAATCTTTTTAGTTCATGAAATCATGCTGATTCAACTTTCTTATTAACTTACAAATGCCTATGTATTCACTTGTCATTGTACACATGGTTTTCAAAAGGGACAGTAACATTTACCAGTAATTGTGGGAACCAGCAGTTAGCGTAATGGCTATGTTGCTGGACTCCCACATAGTCGACTGTGGTTCACGTCCCAGAACCGGTGGCTTAAAACTCATGCCGGGCGTGTGTGCGTGCGTGCCCAAGATCCCGAGAGGAGAATGGAGGAGAAGGTATTGCGGCGTGACCATCCCCCCTGGGGGGTGATTTCTTGCTTTCTGTCTCTATGTCTCTCTCTGTCTGGCGAGCACACGTGCCCTATAGTGAAAATCTCTCCAAAAAAAAAACCATTTACCAGTAATTGGAATTTATATTACCAAGATCAATGATAAGGTGATAAAAACAGTAGCAACTAAACAACACAATCTGATTATTTGATACCTTTAATTTTCCAGATTTTCACATCAATTTATTTTTTATGCTACTTACTCTATTTTTATGAGTTTAGAAAAAAATAATCATTCCTATCCCTATTTTCCAAGTGGTATAAGCATGAGACAGTTTTAACTGGATCCTAAATGTTTAGAAGTCCGCGTATGTTCCTTCTTCATTCACTCAGTATGACATTCATGTTTCATTTATGTACTTAGCAAATATTTATATCCACTGTGTGCCAAACCATCCGATTGGCTGTACATAAATACATTGATTATTAAAATAGACCATCTCAGGCCTCGTGGAGCTCACATTTTAGAAGGGAGGACAGAAACTAAAGCAAACAAATGTGTATCTGCGGATTGAATGAAGAGAAAGAAGAGTATTTGATGCAATATAAAACATGCTATCAAGTACCCTTTTTAGTTAAGAAAATCAGGCACGGTCTCTCTGAGAAGGTCATGTTTAAAGTTTAGTCCCACGTGGAGAAGAGACTAGCTCAGCAAATTGTGGGAGATGGTATTTCCAGGAAGAGGAAGTAACATATATAAACATCCTATGAAAGGAAAACCTTAGCATCTATAAGTAACCAGGAGGTTAATGTCTCTGGAGCACAGGAATAACAGCCCAAGAAGGAATTAAAGAAATGGAAAGGGGGCCAGCAGATGGATGGAACCCCACGTAGTCAACGGCAGTTCGAGTCCCGGACCAAGTGGCTTAAAACTCACACTAAGCGCCTGTGTTTGTATTGCCAAAATCCTGAGAGGAGCATAGAGGAGAAGGGGTTGTGGTATGGCCATACCCGCTGAGGGGTGATTTCTCGCTTTCTGTCTGTCTCTTTCTGTGTCTCTGGTGAGCACACATTGCTTATAGCAAAAATATCTCTAAAAAGAGAAAAAATAATAATAAAATAAAAAAATAAAGGAGTGGAAAGGAGCCATGCCATCCAGCTTCAGGATAAGGAGTTTGGCTTTGTTTTAAGTAGTGTAGAAAACCACGGAGGCGTTAAGCAGAAGAGTGCTATGGTCAGAATTACAGCTTCATAAATAGCATGCTGGCTGCAGTTGAGAGATAGACAGAGGGGAGGGTGATTTGGGGACTAGAGAAGAGTGAAAGCACAGAAACACCAAGAGGAAAGATTGAGACTGTTGATGATTCAGATAGGAGAGGTGAGACAGCTTCTAAATGTATTGGAAGTGGAGCCAGTGTTGGATTCAGTGTTGGATAAGGAAAAGAAGCCATCGAGGATGTCTCCCGCCACTCTGATGTCAGCAAGTGATAAGCGGCAGAAACTTTTGTGGCAATGGATTAAGAAAATTCCTGTTTTAGGAGGGAATGTGTTCTTCAGGTTTGAGCAAACAAGTTTGGTATGTAGTTAGCTGGCGTACAAGTCTGGAGCTAAGAGGAAATGCTGCTTTTGATGATAGGAATGTAAGACTCATCTACATAAAGGTTGCATTTGAAGCCATGAGAATGGTAGTGATTGCATTCTGAGAAACTGTAAGAATGAACAAAGAGAAGAGGAAAATTCTGCTAAGAAGAGTCATGGGAAACCGCAAGAGCAGAAGCAGGGTGACAAGCAGCAGCATGTGTCTTTAGAGAAGTCAGTAGGAGAGTATTTCATACTTAGTCCTGGCCCTCTCTGTGACCCTCCGTTGCAAAATTCAGCCCCTACAGTCAGTGTCCCTTTTTAGGGAATGCTTTTCCTTATCATCTTTTCTGTCCCCATCATCCATTTTTGATCAGCTTACAGTTGGGTCACAACAGCAATTATTAGTGTCATTTACTAAACACTTAAATATCCCAACAGCTATATCGCATATTTTACATGCTGTATTATCTCCCATGCTATAATCACATACTCATTATGTAAAATAGATTACATTTTCGTTCTCAACTTTAGTTTCAGTAGATAATGAGATCTACTTTAAGACACTGTTAGGAGGAGAAAAATAAGCCACATGCTTGGCCAACAGCTACCATGTAGAAGGACAGAATCCATTCTTACCTTCACTGAAATACTTAAGATATAACAATTTATAAACTTTCTTTTTATAATTTAGAATTATAAGCTCACAATTTATGATGATAAGTTCACAATGTATAAGTTTACCTTCCTACAGACTATAAGCTCTTGGAAGAGAAGAACTGTTTTTTAACTCATCTCGAATCCCCACTACCTTGAACATTGCTGGGTAGGTTTTATGTACACAAAGCATTTTGTGAAATTATGTGCATCCTTTTTATGTTGCAAAGATAGGAAGTTCAAATTATAGATGAACGTGTTAGGTGGAAATGGGTAAAATCATTATTTTTCTGTAAGCATCTTTGATTCAGCATTAAAAATCACTATAATTTCAAAGTAGATAACCCAGCTTTAATTACATTTTTACTGACTATGTTTTGGAGAGGAGAAAGGAAGTAGAGCAATCAAGATCCTGTGTGTTGTGCTATAGATAATTTTCTTCCAACCTGACATGTTGGTAAGGCAAACTAGGAGGCAGAGAGTTGAACCTTCTGCTCAATTTTGAGACACCCCTGATTCCTTTCCATTTGCATAAAGGAAATCTGTTGTTTCATTTTCCTCATGGAGAAAATGAAAACTTTAAATTCTCAGTAGACCAATTTATAAAGGAGCCTTTTAATAGAGCTCTGTCATAAATAAAAGCATGTGGCACAGAAGGCTATGGTTAGACTTAGACCTATCTCCCATGTCACTTTTTAAATGCTCATTTTCAAATCAATGCCATTTCTATCCTATCCATCCATTCCTTGATTCCAGCATAGATAAAGAAATCCTTAGGATAAAACTCTAAGTAACCTCTAGACATGGAAAACACAAAGACCTTATAAAAAATCTTTTAAGTGAGCAGTTGTTGTCTTTAATTACACCTGGGATGTGATACCATTTTTTAAAAGACATTAGGAGTGTCTTATCATGTAACAATCATGCTGGTTATTTGAAAGATTGAACAAGGAAGGCAGCAAGATTCTAACTTTTCCCTTCTGAATGTAGAATATTCTGAGAGGCTAAGAGGGCAAGTGATGCCAGCAAGGAAGTAGTAGGAGCAACAGGAAAGTTCAGTGGTTAGACCATCGGAAATCATTTCTCGGCAAAACAGATGCTTGGCTTAATAAGGACCTTGAGCTCATCGGAATGCACTTGGCTATCCTTTGACTAAAGGAGCAAACTGACAGTGTCAACAGAAAATTCTAGCAGTTTATTTGTTTTGTTATGTCCGTTTGAGTAGTGGTCGGTGATGGTTTGAGAACCTTGAGTGGGGTAAGATTTTAGAGTGAGGTTGTCATGAGTGTGTTCACAGAGAAAGATCAAGGGTGAGGTGAGGTTATCTGTTGTACATATCACTGTGTAAGAATAATTACAGTAAAGGACAAAATTTAATAACTGTAGTCTATGGAGTACCCTTGAAATGTTTTTATTTGAGTATTCCTAAAATAATCCAGTGAAACTATACACACACTTGTATATTTTTCAGTTGGCAGCTGAAATTTTTTATCATATATTTAAATATTTTCAAGGATTTAATTTCCTGCACAGTACAAATATTGACATTTTAAAAATAAAACTGTTAGATCATGCTTTGAATTTTTCTAACACAATGTAATATCCTAATGATTAAATACTTGCCACCATTCATTTAAAATACATGAACAGTGTTGAACATAACAGCATTAATTCTGTTCTTCAAACTGGTATTTTTATTCTAATTGTTCCAAAAATTTTTATCCTAATGTCATGTGTTTTATGCTTGGAAGGATTTTATTGATTACCTTAGCATATTCCTCTACAATAAAACATGTTAATAATTGGAGATTTAATTTTTTCCATGTTTCCTGTAACTATAAGGCTATTAAGTGTTAAAAATATCTTCCACATTGAGCTGTTGTAATTGGCATAAGTACATCATTGATCAAAACAACATGTTCTATTTCAAATTTGATGAATAATTATTAGGCATAAAAGTAATACTTTATTGGATATTCATCTCTTAATGAGGTAGATGTCTTTTTATTCCTTCATTAGCTCCCAGACGAATACTACTTATTACTAGAATCGCATAGTTGCTGCCTGAGTTCTCCTATCTTTGGTTTTTATAGATATAAGCACTGAGAAATCATATTCACATGCGCATGTGGATGGGAATGGGGAAAGCAATGCCACTCAACTCTTTGATCCTCTTTGGAGATATACTCCCACATTCACACAGTCATCTAGCCTCATAAATTATTTCTAATCTATTAGCTGACAAGTTGATTAGGTCCTTCTTCATTATGCTGAAAGCAAAGATTTGGAAACCACCTGACTTTCCAAAAGGATCGAACATGTAGTCATTAGAGTCATTCAGTTTTTCTGCATCTCCACCAATACTTGTCCCTTTTCTGGTATCATAGAGGTTTATAAACTCCAGGGCACTTCACCAGAAGTAGACTGTGGATTGGTGAGAGCTATGCTAAAATGGGAAAAACAGATGTTTTTGTCAAAGAAGGTGGAAATTAAAAATCTGCATAATGAGGCCAGCAGGTGGCATGGTGGTTAAGGAGCTAGACTCCCAGATGGCTGACTGTGGTTTGAGTCTCAGACCTAATGGCTTGAAGTTTACACCAGTTATGTTTGCATACATGCCCAAGATCTCAAGAGGAGAAAGGAGAAGAGATTGCAACATGGTCATTCCCCCCGGGGAGTGATTTCTCACTTTTCCTCTCACCATCTCTCTCTGTCTCTCTCCAGTGAGTGCACATGCCCTATGACAGAATATAAACAAACAAATAAACAAACCTTCATAATGAATTTGATGTTCTCAAGACAAATGTTAATGAAGAGCCCTGAAGGAAGTTGGAGAGTCTTCACTTACCAGCAGGAGTACCTGAAGCAGAGAGATCACAGACTGATCACTCCTAGTGGAGACATTACACAGTGTCACAGCAGCTAGAGTGTCTTCCACTGAAGGTTGGTCACAAAGTGCAGTGGACTGGGAGTTGGACCCCTTATGGCAAATGTAGTTTGGATTCCAGCCAAGAGTGTGTGGATGCATGAGCCAAATCTTGACTGGATAGAGAAATGGAAGAGAGGAATGTTGCAAGACCACGCCCCACTGGGAGTTGCTTTCTTTCTCTTTTCTCTTCTCTGGTAAGCACATGCATCCTCTGCAAATTAAAAAAAAAAAAAGAAAAGAAAAGATTGAGGCATTCTCACAGTGTGGTGGAGCTCCCATTGCTGACTGTATCACTGCAGTTCAAGTCCTGAAACCAGAGGCTTGAGAAACACACCAGGTACGTGTGCATGTGTGCTCAAAATCCTGAAGGAAGGGAGAATGGAAGAGAAAGGATTGCTGCGTAACCATTTCCCATTGGGGGTGATTTCATTCTCTCTCTCTCTCTCTCTCTCTCTCTCTCTCTCTCTCTCTCCCTCTTGCTTTCCCTGTGAGTGTATGCTCCCTCTGGCAAAATTTTAAAAATAAATGAAGAAAGAATGTCTCCCATTGATTACTCTCCAGTTCATGTATTCATATATTGACTGGATTTTACTGACCTGTAAGATATAAATATATACAGAACACTGTAAAGGGTAGGCAGTAGTAAGTATGCTAAAATGTTTTAGGGAAAGAAGAGTACTTTTGTCAGTGAGAAATGAGGTACGGAGCCTGGATAAGCATGTTAATTGTTATTGTATAGATGTAATATATACATAATGTTTATGTATTTCCTCCATGAACAAGATTGAGAGAGAGAGAGAGAGAGCTATTACACCCAGCTGGGTCCTGGCACCATGATACCCCGTTAGCTTCAGCTGGCCCTAGATCATGGGCACACACATGCCCAACATACTCAGGGAATTCTCTGGATGTGAACCCAGAACCTTCCCATCTTGATCAACCTGGCAGAGTGCTACATTTACTGCTATGCTGCCATAGAGCCCCATAACTGATACCTTTGTTATAATTTCACATCTTGGAATCTACCTTCATAAAAATGTATAAAATAAAGATGATCCTCTTGCAAAACAAATATTTATTGTAATATCATTCACAATGATAAAAATGGACATTAACCTATATTCTGGCTCATAATGTATTCATTAAATACATATGGCATAATTCAAGAAACATTTTCAAGATGTTACAATTATGCTCATGGAGATTATGGAGTAATTTCAATAAATGTTACATTAACTGGAAAAATGGGACACAAAATTCTATTTTGATTATAATAAAATCTATGAGTAAAGTAGGTATATGAAGAAATATTTAAGGAAAATGCATGACAAGAATAATAGTTATCTGGGATTGGCATCTACATGCATTTTCTGTTTCCTCTACATGGAGGGAATGTAATGACATTGCAAATGTGATTAGAGTTCTTTCTTCGAACATCTGCATCGTTGTATACATACAGTTATATATTATACATTTTTGTAATTTATTATATGTTATAGATAATATATATTTCTTACTATTTTATTCCTATTATACCTCTAGAAACTTTATATGCATATACATGCATATCAATATATGTATTTATTAGAATATGTTAATGATATCTACTTGTATTCACTTAATATTCTTCCTCTAAAGCAACATTTCTCTAATTTGCTGTGTTAGTACATTTTTCTTCTGATCATTTAACAAGTTTATGAGCTATCTTTAGTATTTCTATCTAAGCTTTTCTATCTTTAGATTTTACATTTAAGACTTAAATCTGTTTCTGTATATGTCAACTTTAAAAACCATATATTGATTTCTTATTTAAAAAGGTGAGGTATGGGACCAGCAGATGGCATAAGATCATGTCACTGGACTCCCACATGGTTGACCATGGTTCCAGTCCCAGACCAGGTGACTTGAAACTCATATCAGGTGCATGTGTAGATGCAGCCAAAAATCAGATGAGAATGGAGAAGGGATTGCAATTTGGTCATCCCCTCTTGGGGGGGTGATTTCTCACTTTCTGTCCCTCTGTCTCTCTGGTGACATACGCACTATAGCAAAAATCTCTAGGAAAAAAAGAAAAAAAGATGAGTTAGTTAATTTTTAGTTCCCCCAACCCATCTCTACTTTTTCCACATGAATCTCAGGTTTTATTTTGTTATAATTCTATTTTTATTTTTTCTATTTAACATCTAAGAATATTCATTAATTTATTTATATATTAAATTAATTTTCATATATTAGGGGAAAATAGAGAAAATTTCTCTGTATTCTTAAAATTCTTCCAATCTAACTTCTCCCTTCTACTGTGAAATTTGTATTGTTATATAATAATTGTACATTGCCATACAATGAACATACATATTGCATTTTATAATTTCCACAAGTCATTATTAAATATATACTTTCATGAATTTACTATCTAGCCCTGTTTCCAAGCTTAGTTCTTCCATTAATTGGTTTGCAAAAGAGTCTACATCAACTTTTTTTACTTCATTTTGATAAGAACTCTGGTGTGTTGTATGTATTTCCAGAGTTCTTGAAAGTTGTATAAAACTTTTGGGTCACACTTTTTTCTCCTAAGGAATACGAAACATTTTTCTTTGCCTATTTCACAATGAGCTTTAAAATTAATAAAAGTCTGAAGCCAGCCTGAATTTTCTCTTTTATATATAAATTGAATAGTTTGCCTAGGTAATCAACTTCTCTATTTTTTATCATGTATTTTTTTTTTCTCTCATTCTATGTAGTTTCCCTAACACATATTTTTCTCTTTTGCCCTTCAGAATTAGGTCTTTTACTTTTAGAAAAACTTTTAGGAAGTTTTCTTTCATTACATCTGTGAATATGTTTTCCTGCTCCGTTTTCGCGTTTTACTTCCTCTGAAACCCTAGTTATGTACACATTATAGAGCATATGACTGTCTTTCAGGTCTATTATCTTCTTCACGACTTTGACTTTTCTTTTTCAATTTTTTTGCTCAGTGTTCTAAAGCCCATCTCTTTGATTTCTAGTAAGTCTACTCTTGAATTTCATGCTTTTAATTTTGTTTTTTTTTTCTGCTATAGGACACATGTGCACACCAGAGACAGGGAGGGAGAGAGAGGGAGTAGGAAAGTGAGAAAGCACCTCCCCCGACCCAGGGGGATGACAACACTGCAATCCCTTCTCCTCCTTCTCCTTCCAGGATTTTGGGCATTCACAAATATGTGCCTGGTGAATTTTTTAAGCTGCCAGGTTTGAAATTTGAACTATACGGTCAGCCATGAAGGATGCAGTCACTGATCAGCCCCACTTTTAATGTAATTTTAATGCTGAAATTGTTTTAGCTTTTTTCTTCCACTTCCCCCCTAAATGTCATAACTTAATTTTTATCGTATTAACTTTCTCTTTTTTTTTTTGGAGAGATTTTCGCTATAGGGCGCGTGCGCTTGCCAGACAGACAGAGAGAGACATAGAGACAGAAAGCGAGAAATCACCCCCCAGGGGGGATGGTCATGCTGCAATCCCTTCTCCTCCATTCTCCTCTCGGGATCTTGGGCATGCACGCACACGCGCCCAGCGTGAATTTTAAGCCACCGGGTCCGGGATGCGAACCACGGTCGACTATGTGGGAGTCCAGCGACATAGCCATTACGCTAACTGTTGGTTCCCATAACTTTCTCTTTTTCATAAATTGCATCAAGACCTTGAAGCACAATTTCAGTATAACATTAATTTTTAATTTGATCTTATGAAAAAATAGTTGTATATCATTTTTAGTTATCTTTTGTTTTTGACTGATATTTGTGTCTGGTATTGATTTAAATTTCTCTGATTTTTATTCTCCATCTTACCCATTGGCTTCCCTGAAACTTTAGCTTGCAGACAGTACTTTTCAACCTCCATAATTATGGAAGCCAATTCTGTCTATCTTTATCTATCTCTCTACATATACACAAACATGTGCTCATGCACGCACTCTCTCCCATACACCAATACACTGCTTATCTTCCTTTGGTCCCTCCTCCTCTATGCTACAATCTCAAAAAAGCACACTGAGACTCATCATGGGCATCATAAGAAGTCAATAAATTTACCTTTCAGAGTAAGCCACCCAACAATGGTAATCTCTTCTAGCTTCCCAAATTCTGCAAGATATTTATCTGTTCTAAATGTTTTCCCTCACTTCAGTCATGTTTTATAATTTTTGGTAATAATTATTTATAGTTTCTGGACTGATAGGAAGAATATATTCCACTTACATTATAGAAAGTATTTGTCACTCTCTGTTTAATGTTCTTTGATATTTTCCGTTGATTTCACAGAGAATTGGGATAAAAATGCTTTTGTTGTATGCAACTTAACTCAAAACACTTATATTACTTTTTTCTGAGATTTTTGCTGCAGGGTGTGTGCACTCACCAGAGAGAGACACACACAGAGAGATAGATAGTGAGAAATCACCCACCAGGGGGATAGCCATGCCACAGTCCCCATTCCTCCATCCTCTTCTTGGGATTTTGGGCTTGTGTGCACTTGTGCCCAGTGAGTTTCAAGCCAACCAGTCCAGGACTCAAACTGCAGTTAACCATGTGGGAGGGAGTTCATCACCTTATCCACCATGCCACCTGCTGTCCCCATCCTTACATTACTTTTAAAGGTAAGCAATTTACATTTAATAAGAAGAAGAAAAAGAAGGTGACCTAATGGCATAGGAATAATGCATTGCTCGAGTGATGCTGGATCCATATAGAAGGTCAAGGGTTCTGTTCTCTGGTCAACCTATAAATACTGGGTATACACATTCATGATCCTGGTTGGCTGGGAAGACTGTGAAAGGGATTATAGCATGAAGCGCTGTTGAGAGTCTCTCTCTCTCTCTCCTCTCTGTGGTTTAATTCTGATGAAAAAAAATACACTTAAATTTAAAAAAAAAATAGGGTCAGCATGTTCCATGGTGGCTAAGGCACTGGATTCCCACATGGCCAACCATGGTTCAAGTCCCAGACCTGGTGGCTTAAAAATCATGCTGGGGGCACATGTGCCCAAAATCCCAA